AAGTAGAATGTGGGAAGCATAAACACTAGAAAGATATTGTGGGAAGTTGAAGAAAATGTGGGAATGGAGAGGTATGAATAATATAACTGTTGTGTTGAGAGATAATATTTTTAGAAAATATAGGGAAAATGGGAGGATTACAAATCAGTTTTAGCTCCCTGATATTTCTTGAAAAATTAATGTCCCTTGGGTGACAGGGCATCCCCACCTTTGTGACCTATATGGTGAGGCTTGCAGGTGATCCACATCCCTTAAAAGACTAGTGTTCAACACACCAGGCATCTAAAACTAATGTCTCTGCAGAATTGTTAAATTTAGTTAGATTATATTCTAGCTCTTGGCTGCTCTGTGGATTATCATCTCTACTTCACATCTCTTGTTTTTACTTTACAAAAATAGGTACATAAAAGTCAAATTTAGTAAGTTTACAAAAGATACAATGATAAAGAGTATGGTCCACAGGTCAACCATGCAGGTATCACCTTCATAATTTTTGGTCTTGATTATTTGAAAATTTTTCAATTGACTTTTTTTACTTAAACGAATTTGCTTTAAAGAAACTTTATAACACACTATAAATAGAAAACCAATGCCACTGAGCATAAATAGAATTCAGCTATAAAAATAAATATAATAAATGCAATAGAAACAAAATAACATTGTTAAATCTAGCTAGACTCTATTGCCAATGAAATCTCTGTGACTGAACTGGTTTCTTTGTTAAAAATGAAAATCAGTAAGTTTTAGGGAAGAGTTAAAGAATTTTTTTTGTTAACAAACATAGCACTTAACCATTGTCAAGTAATTTATAAGCACAGTTATAAAATTCTCTCATTGGGCCAAGCATTAATATGAAGAATGGAATCTTTTAGGTATATTAGTCAAAAGAACTCCGGACCTGGTACCTATGAAAGAATACCCAAAAGCAGTAAAGGGGGGATAGGTCACACACAAAAAAATGCCGAAGATCAGTTAGAAGTTCATAATAATTATAAAAAGTGATACTACAGATGATTTAACATGTAAGAAAGATGCATATTTTTGAAAAAATTAGAATTCTCTCTAGGCGTTAATGGATGGACAAGACAGAAAACGTGCCTGAGGGGACTCAGCTATGAGAGAAGAAAAGGCTGAAGGGTGATTCTTTATCTCCCCAGAAGTTAGTGGCAAACAAAAAGGAGGATAAAAAAATAAAATAGAAAGAAAAAGAGCTCTATGTTAGAGAAAGAACTTAGGATAAGTAAACACAGTTAAATATAGGAATAGTTTACGTGGGCATGTGAT